CATCAGCTGGTACAAGGACGGACAGGCCAGTCACAAACTTAATTCTTTCTAAGGGGTGCATTTTGTACAGAAACAACTGTGTGTTCACCATCGCTATGAATTCCTGTGGTGTAACAGGCTCACCTGCACTGCTGAAGTCAGTGCCATCCCACCATCCCGCTGGTCGGATCACCCCTCGCACATCCTGGGGTGTTTGCTGTTGGCCAGACCTCTGCAAATTCGAACCCTTGCTTTTTTTGTGTGTGCTTGGCAGTGCACGGAGACATCCGTGCTGGAGTTTCCAGGGCCTACCACTGGCCCATGGTGTGACCACATGTCCCTTTGCTGTTGTGTAAAGACCCCAAAGGCCCTGTTACAGAATGGCCCCATGCTTGGTTCCTCCTGCCCTTGCAGAAGTTGCAGAGAGCCTCCCACTTGGTTCTGGCAGAGCTTGCAAAGCCACAAAAGCATCTGGATCCTCTGCGAGGGGGAGGAAGGCATGTTCCTGCCACACAGAAGCTTCACGACAGCATCGCTCTGGAGGAGCAGCAGTTTGGAAGGGCAGTACGAGAGAATCGTACTGATGTGCAGTCTACTGGGGTCTGGCTATTAATAAAAAAGAAATGGTCCAAATCTTCTGTAAGAAAGGAGAATATAATCTCATGCTTTAACTGTTATTGGTAGGGCCCTTATCATGCAGCAGACTGCTGCAGCTGGACCAGCTTTTCCTGGATTTATCGAGTGTGCAGAAACAGCCTGGAGCCACAGGAGAGACTGTATATACCCTCCATCTGTTTTGAGCATACGCTGTAATTCTAGGATCTCCTGGGTGTACTGATTGTATTGCCGATGAAAAAATATGTTGGGGGAAGTTGAGAGGTCCCCAAAGAAAGAGAATGCAGCTTCCTGCCACTGTCAGAGCAGCAGCTTTTTCTTAGGTTGCCCCTGGGTAAATGGCTTTCCCTCACATCCATGGACTAAACTGATTGTCCCCTGCAGGTCAGGAGTTCAGTGCTGACTCCCTCATGTGTTTCATTTCAATTATCGAGAGATACAGGTTGTATTAGTGTAGTCTCTCCTGTCACGTGTGATGTAAATTCTAGGGACAGTAACGTCTAATCCTGTGTATCTCTGTGCTGCATCCATTGGATGTTCACACCGTGCCCTTGCCGGGCAGCAGATCCTAGTGGTTGTGTGGCTGTAGGGTGGGTTAGATCCAGTTGTTCACCTCATAGAAAACTGATAGTCTTATGCTTGTAGGTTTTCCATCAGCTCATCAACTTGGCCAGTGAGTTCAGGGCTTGAATCGGCCCGATTTAATCAGATGTCGTGAGAGCCCTTGCCTGCTGGGGATGGCACTGCTCCTTTCAGCAGCACCTTGCAGCTGGGGTTAGGAGTGATGGCAAACCACATCCTGTTAGGAGACCAGCTGCCAGGATCAGAGAGGTGAAGATGGAGAGTTTCTGACAACCAGGAAAAGAAAACTGTCTCCAGGAACTTGGAGTTTGATCAAGTTTACTCAGGGAGGAGAAGATTTTGGTCTGAGGCAAAGGAGGAGCAGATGAGAGGAGAGCTGGGCTGTGCCACCTGTGGCCAAGGCTGCCGTCCCAGGAGCACCTGGCTTAGGACTGTGTCCTAAGTGGTGACCCTCAGTAGTTTGGTTTCCGAAGCAACTCCTTTCTTCATGTAGATTGAAAGTCAGCCTTGCTGGAAGCATTAGCAAAAATTGAAGGATGTTCTGTTGTTAGTGGTATCAAAGCAGAGGAAATAGCAAAACCAAAATAATGCTCTTACTCCCGGTATACTGCCTTAGGAAGGATTTTGAAACAACCTGAGTTTGAGGAAAAGAGAGATGACATCATTTTACTTCCACAAATATGGCTATTTCTAGTCTATGTTTTGCCAAGTATTAATTTCCATGTAAAATTACATTACAGCCACTTAAACCAGATGATCATGTCATTATCCAAGCTAGTGGCCGTACTCTGCAGATTAAGGAGGCTCAAGTATCAGACACCGGTCGTTATACTTGTCTGGCATCCAACATTGCTGGAGAGGATGAAGTGGAATTTGATGTAAATATACAAGGTAAACAGAGTTCGGATCATAAAATTCTTCAGGTAGCCTCCTTTTCTAATGTTCTGGGATGCTGGAATTCTTTGTAATTTTGTATCTTTTACACCTGCTTGGTCTAATCCAATGCTTTTCTGTGATTTTTATTTCATGTATGTTTTGCTCGTCTTTAAGACATACAGTATTTGATTATTCTTTCTTTCACATTTTGTGACATATGCGGTGTTTCTGAAGTCAGTGGAATGACATAGTGACTCTGATCTTCCTCTAAATGACATGAAGAAGTTTTAATTTAGCTTAAACTGAGACGTTGTGTTTTATTTATCTGTATTGAGTAGTATTTAGAGGCCCTAGACATAAGCATCTTGTTGGCCTACACACTGTGTGTAAGTACAAGAAGACAATCATTAGTCATTTCTGAAAACTTAGACAAAATTAGAACTTGAATGAAACCAGATAGCTTACTATCGAAGTATTATTGTTCATTAATGCCCTCTGTGTTTTGTTACCAGGTCTTCTTACACTGTTATTTATTAGTCTTCAGAAAATATTCAGTAGATCGCTCGATTGTTAATTCTGATGAAAAGAAATAGAATTTTCCTGGGTAATTTAAATTGAGGGGAGGGGTTAATTTCATACACTTTATTTTTATTGCTGCTATTTAACAATTACAGTAGCTTTTCATTTCTTGACTTTAAAACTAGCTATTTCTGCTGTAAAATTCTGACATTTTTCCCATTCTCGGTTGTAGTTCCTCCTAGTTTCCAAAAGCCTTACAAGGAATGGGAAGCTGGTAACAGGGTAGATAGAGGAAGAGGCGGAGAAAGTAAAGATGTGATTGTCAACAATCCCCTTTCACTGTATTGTGAGACCAATGCTGTTCCTCCTCCAGTTCTTACGTGGTATAAAGATGGCTATCCTTTGAGCTCTAGTGATAAAGTACTAATATTACCAGGTGAGTATTAAAATCTCACTCTCTGACCTTAAGAAATGGCATTAGAGCTAGCATTTGTACAGTAATAACAAACTTTTCCCCTTCAAAACCCCGCTTTGATGTTCTCTTCAGGTTTTCTTGGCTGGAAATGTGTCACCGTTTAAGGCTGGGCCAGCA